TGCTTTTCTGTCAATTCTTTCCCTGACATGTTTTTTTTTTTTTTTTAATATTTGCTTAGATGTTTATGGATGTTTTATTCATTTATATGCGGTGCTGAAAATTGAATTGAGTGCCTCTCACTTGCTAAGCAAGGGCTCTACCGCTGAGCCACAACCCCAGCCCATCTCTGAAGTGGTTCATGATCCTTCCTTCTCTAGTCCCTCTAGTCCCCACCCTGGGTGCCTGAGATCAATATTCGAACGCCTTGTGGTGTGGCCCTCACTTTAGACTCATCACTTGTCCACCACTGTTTATTTATTTGGTTGTATTTTATTTTGGCTGCTGGGGATCAAACCCAGAGCCTTGCACATGCTTGGCAAGCATTCTACCACTGAACTACATCCCCAGCCCTATTCTGTATATGTGATAATCCAGCCATKCTAAAATCCTTACTGATCTCAGGAAAGGACACATAATTATAACCTTGCCATTGCTTCTGCTATATGTATAATGTGTGTGCAGACATGTATATGTATGTATTTTGTTGCTTCGATTGACCTGATTGTTTTTTGTTTTTGGTACCAGAGATTGAATYCCGGGGCACTCAACCACTGAGCCACATCCCCAGCCCTTTTTATATTTTATGACAGGGTCTCACTAAGTTGCTTAGGGCCTTGCTAAGTTGCTGAGGCTGGCTTTGAACTTGCAATCTTCCTGCCTTGGCCTCCCAAGCTGCTGGGATTTAAGGCGTGCACCACCATGCCCAGCCAATCTGATGTTTTGAATCCTACTCCCCATTTCCTAAATTTCTACCGTTTTCCATGTTCAGTTTCATTGCTTTCTCTTTTGTGGAGCTTTCTTTTATCTCTTTGAAGATAGAGGGATTTTTTTAAGTATATGTAGAGTTGTGCAATCATAACCATGATCAGTATTTGAACATTTTTATCATCCTCAAAAGAAACCCCATTTGTGTTAGCAGAATGTCCCCATTTCCCCCAAACCTTTGGCCCTAGGTAATTGTTTATTTACTTTCYGTCTCCTATTCTGGATATTTCATATAAATGAAATTGTATTATTTGTCCTCTGGGGTCTGACATTTCATTTGGCATAATGTTTTCACACTTGATCTTAGCCAAAAGGCCGAGAAGCGATGGCATAATGTTTTCGAGGTTCATCCATGTTGTTCCATGTGTCAGTACTTCATGTCTTTTTGTGGCTGAATAATGGGTATGATTACACCACATTTTTTTGGCCCATTCACCAATAAACGGGTCTTGAATATTTTTTTTTTAGCTATTATGAATAATGCTCCTGCCAGGCATGGTGGTGCATGCTTATAATCCCAGAGATTCAGGAGGTTGTGGCAGGAAGATCACAAGCTCAAGGCCAGTCTCAGCAATTTAGCAAGGGCCTGCCTAAAAATAAATAAATAAATAAATAAATAAATAGGACAGGGAATGTTGTTCAATGAGTGGTAAAGCACCCCTGGCTTTAATCCCCAAAATAATAATAATAATAATAATAATAATAATAATTCTATGAGCATCTGTATACAAGTTTTCCTGTGAACATTTATTTTAATTTCTAGCATTATGAACCTAGGAGTGGAATTTCTGGGTCATAGAATAATTCTATGTTTAACATTTTAAAGATCTTCCAAGAGATTTTTTTTTTTTTTTACATGGCTACACCTACCAGGTGCAGTGGCCTATGCTTGTAATTCTAGCTACTAGGAAGCCTGGACAGGAGAATCACAAGTTCAAGGCCAGCCTGAATAACTTAATGAAACCCTGTCCCAAAATAAGTAAGGACTGGGTATGTACCTCAGTGTTAGAGCATCGCTGGGTTCAATCCCCAGCACTTCCCCTGCCCTACACACAAAAGGCTGGACCCGTTCACTTTCCCACCTCAGAGGTATGAGGGTTCCAATTTTGCCTTATCCTTGCCAACACTTATTGTCTCTGTTTTTGGTGATAGCCATCTTAGTAGATGTGAAGTGGCATGTCGCTGTGGTTTTGATAGCATAATTCCGTAAATATTTGTTGGATAAGTAGTTTATATGAAATATGAACAAACAAACCTCTGAACAGGTGGCTTGACTTCCAAGTTTATTAATTAGCTACAAAGGAGGAGGAGGAACACAGAACCCAGTATCACTGGAATCCAATTTTTAAAAAGTAACTTTTAATAAAACAACTTTCTTTTTTTAGCTGCCAGTATAATAGAGATGGTGATCTGTCATGAAAATCCGACTTAGCTTTGGAGGTTTGAATGTATTTTGCAGAATAAACTAAATTACAAGTAAAACTCCACCTTTGATATTGTTTCTAGTCAAAACCTATCACTGAATGAGAAGACCAGGAAAATCAGAAGCAGGCAAGTAAATAAAGCAAAATTGCCCACCTGGCCTTTCCTCTGCCCTCTCATTGGAACAGGTTACAAATTGGAAGCACGAGACACCAATTCCGTGATGACTGTGTGAATGGTGACTCCTGTTTAGAGACCTGCCCACTGCCCATTTCCTCCAGGGCAGGGCAGGCCAGTCTTCAAAAAAAGCATTTGATAATAACACTTGGGAACAGGGGTTGGGAGGTGAGGGCATAAAGCTTAGAAAAACGCAACTGCTAAAATCTCTCTGAATAGAGTTTTCCTCAGTCAACAGTAGACCCTGGGAAACCTAACAGGTTCTGAAAACTTATTTTTAATCACTGGAAGTCAGAGAAACAGCCAGCTGAATCGGTTCCCTCTTGGGCAGTGGTTTAGCCTACTTATCTCAAGCCAGGGGTAAATGGTCCAACTGCTTTTCTTTGGTTCTAGAGAGTTCTTTCTTGGTCAAGACCCATCCATGAGTCTATCCTGAGGCCGACACTTCTGCCTGCAGCCTTGAAAACTATAGAGTTTGGCTGAAGGAAGGCCTCAAATTCAAACCCACCATGGGGCTAATAACCTTGTAGGGTGTTCCAGGGTTCTTGGAGGAGCTGGTGGGTGGAGCCAGGGTCAAAGGTCAGACTAAAGGCGGAGTCGCCCGCTCTCTGCATGTGTAACATCATCTTGCCTCAGTAGTCTCAGATGCATAACTCTACAGTCCTGTTCTGTGTTCTTTCATCTKTATGGGGGGCGGGGGAAGGGGGTTCATTTTCAACAACCACGATCATCTTGATCTTTCTGAAGATGTGTCCAAAGGCCCAGAGAGCTGGCCCCCTTGGGAGCCTCAGTAGGCAGAGTATCACCAGTTGGAAACATGTCAGCTGCGTTATAGAGGAAGCACGGCCAGGCCTGGTTTCCCTGGGCTCTCTGATAACTCGGGCCCAGAGAGCCCGGGCGAAGTGCGAGGTGGCGGCACGAGCCGCAGGGATGGAGAGCGGCTCCGAGGAGGGCCCCTGTTTTTCAGAGTTGAAACAGGAGCCCTCTGAGAGAAAAGAGATATTGCCTGTGGCTTCCCTGACGCCTTGGAGGGCGACGTGGATGACACAGCATCAGCCGTTCCATGGCGGGGTGGGGACACGGTGGCGGTAGGCGCCTCCGCCATCCCCGGCTCCGTCGGCGACCAGGAGCCTCCGCTGAAGCATCCTTCTGCGGGGCGTCGGGCCGGGTGGGTGACCCGAGTGGAGGCGCGCGGCGTTGGTTAGACGGAGAGCGAACGCTGGCGCAGCCTCAGGTTGGAAGGACCGACCGGGCAGCGCGAGCGCGTGGAGCTGGGGGCGGGGAAACGCGCCCGTGCCTTAATCTCCTGCCCATCCATCCTCGACTCGCCCCACCTGGATGCAGAGCGAGGACCGCGTGGAGGAGGCGCCGCGCCGGTGGGGCTCCCCCTCCGCCACGTTACCCTCCCCGGCCTCCGAGGTGCCCCTCTCGCTGCCCCCGGGCGTCGCCGCCTTTCCCCCTCCTCCGTTAAAATAGTGAAACAAACCATGAAGTAAAGTGATGGAAACCCGGGGACCGGGAGCCGCCGGCACTCAAGGCTGGAGGGGAGGGGGCGCGGTGGCTGGAGAAGGTGGCCGCGGGTGAGCGCCGGGCGGGGTGGGCTCGCGATCAGCTGCGCCAGCCCAGACCCTTCCCCTCGGGCGGCGGGCCCTCCCCTGGCCCCGGGCGCCTCCGGAGGGCGTGGGGCAAACCTGGGGCTGCGGTGGGGGTGGGGTGGGGACTCCACCTCCATCCATCCCGGGATGGCCCAGGCGGTCACCCCGCTAAAATCGGGGCGGGGGCGGCGGTAGGGACGAGCGGGTACCGCGGTCCTCCCCCCCCCCCGCCCGAGCCGCCGCCGCCGCCGCCGCGGCCGCTCAGTAACACGTCCCCTGGAGACTCGCAGGAGCAACACGTGATGTGTCTACTTATCAGGGTGAGAGGGGGAGAGCGAGTCTCCGAGCGTGCGGGCGAGGAAGCGGGGCGGGGGGCCGAGGCGGGGGCCGGGACGACGGCTGGGGCGCTGGGGTCGCCAGCTCCTCGCCCACCTCCCTCCCTGAGGGAGAAGAGGAGGAGGGGAAGTGACTGCGGAGTTGATGAACTTTGCACATCCAGAAACGCCATTTTGATTCCTTTTCCGGAACAAGTTTGCATCTCTCTTCGTTCTCTCCCCGAAGCCCACCGGTCCCCACCGCATCATGCCTGGGAGCCGAGCGCCCTGCCGGGCCGTAAGTACGCGTCCCGGGTTCCGGCTCGCGGTCCTTGGGTGGCAGCGAGATGTCCGGGGCACAGCCGGGAGCGACCTTTTAAAGAACTTTTTGGGGATGGGGAGGGTGAAGTCTGCAGAGTGCGTTGTACTTTTGAAACTCGGYGTCTCCCGGAGCGGAGGACCCGCGCGCCCCACGCCGCGCAGCACGCGCTGGGGGCGGTGGGGCCAGCCGGGGATGAGCCCGGCAGCCCTCTCCCCTCCGGCTCGGAGCCCGGCCGCTCCTCCTCCTCCTCCTCCCCCTCCTCCCCTTCCTCCGCTCCTTTCCCCTTCCCGAGCTGCCGGCTCTGCCAACCAGCTCCCAGCGCGAGCCGCCGCAGCGCCCCGCCAGCAGGACCTGATGCGCATCCATATTAGCCGTCCGAGCGCAGGAATCCGGCCCGACCCGCGCCGCCTAGTTTATTTTTAACCAGCACCGCGGGGACTCGGATGGTGCACGCACCGCCGGCCAGAAACATCTTCCCAGCGCAGCTCTCCATCTTCCGCCCTCTCTCCCCCGACATCCTCCCCCCCATGTGGGAGGGGAAACTTTTCTCCTACATACTTTCGAGTCCCTCTCGGGCCGGGAAGCACGGAGATGACGGCGCCCGCCCGCCCGCCGCCGCCGCCGCAAGGTATCCGGGGGTGCCCGCTTGGGGGTGCCTGCCCGGGGTGCTTGGCCCCGGGGTGCTAGACCGGGGCTGCTCGGTGGGAGCATCCGCCGCGCCCTGCTCTGCGGACTTTGATCCTCTCGGGAGGACGGCGCCGGCCGGGAGGGGGCCGCGGGCAATCCCGCGTCCCCGCGAGTTCTCGGCTCGCGGTGGGGGTCCCGCCGACCACCGCCCCGGGGGACCGGGGAAGGAGGGGACCGGGCCGTGGCGGCGCGTATTGTTCCCTTGTTCTTCCGTTGGCGGGGTACGTGKTTTCGTGGGAGACCTCGGTGAGGATCGAGCCTGCATCGCGGGGCGGGGGGGCTCGGGCCCGGCGCCGTCACGAGCACAGGAAGGAGGCCGGGAGCATCCGAGGCGGGGCCCGCCGCCCGGCCCCGCTCCGCCGCCCAGCTGTGGAGCGCGCTCGGAAACTTTTGTCCGCCGCCGGCTGGACCAATTTTTCGCAAGTTCTGGGGCTTCGCTTCCTCCTCCCATCCCGGCCCGCAGCGCCCAGCGGGGGGGCGGGCGGGGGAGGCCCGGGCGGGCGGGGCGGGGTGCGGGGCCAGGGGGCCTGGTCCTCCACCCCCCGCGCTCGAGCCCAGTTCCCGGCGCCCCCTCCCCGCTCGCGGTCTCTTAGGAAACTGCGACCTTAATGGTTGCTAAGGAGCAGGGGAGGTCCTTCCCGTCGCCAGCCCCCTCCCTGGGAAGCGGCGTGTTTTCTGGACCCGGCCAGGGTCGCTTCGAGGATGTGACCCGCTCCCCCGCCGCGCGTGAGTGTCGGGCGCGGTGACCGAGCCCGGGTCCCGGCGGGGCGGGGGTCTGGGGGTGCGGGGACCCCACGGGTCGCAGGCCCGACTGGCTACGGGGCCGCTTGACAGGCGCCGCGTGCAGCAGCCAGCGTCCCTCATTCGCGGTGCATCCGTGATGGGTTATAAAAGAGGAGGAAAGTATTTCTCCTTGCTCAGCAGATTTGCCCTCCCTTGCTCCTTACTGGTTAGGAGATAGAACGTGAGCCCAGATCCGGACGAGCAGTTCACATTCCATTACGAAATTCTACACGGCTTCAGAGCCAGCAGCAGCACACATTCGGGGCACTTTGGAGGTTTTTTTTTCTTCTTCTTTTGGGGATGCTAAGTAGTGATGGTGGTGGTGGTGGAGAGAAGTAAAGGGGTGAATAAAGAAATGGAACTCTTGGGTATGCTGAAAAACCTGTCTAAGGATTTTTCATCAGAAGAACAATTCACCCTAGTTCTTGTTTTTGAGTCTAGGTTTGAGCTTAGCTCTTGAAAAGCCAAGGGAAAGAAAGTTTGCCTGTTGAATWGGGATGCTGGAAATTGCAAGGTATTTCTGTCTTGAAAGGAGATGGTGTGGCTGATGTGCATTCCCGTATTTTTTAGATCTTTTTTTTTTTTTTCACCAGTTAATATCTGTGCTTGTGTACAAGTGTGTTCTGAAAAAAAAAAGTTAATTGAAGAGAAAGTTGGGGAAATGAGAGCGGCAAAGAAAAGAATGTGTTTTTGTTCACACCCGTGAAAAGCATCCTCTAGATTTGGTGCTTTTCGGAGTAGGCAGGTATGGTTTCCAAGACATAATTTAACCCGGAAGTTTGAGTTAGAGGCTTGACTAAAGCCTCTTTTAAAAAACTCTGCTTCCTTCAAGAATCCACAGAACTTTTGAAGGAATGAATTTGAAATACTCTAAATAATATATGCAAAGTGGACCATTGTTTTTTTTTTTGTTGTTGTTGTTTTTTACTTCTGCCCTTTGTAGGGAGACTTCTGGGTACCCGTTGATGGGTTCTGCTTTGATGTGTTTTGAGCTTTGGTTACACTGATGAATTAAACATTTCAGTGGCTTTAATCAAGTTTTAAATGTGTGAAAAAAAATACCTTTCCCCTTTTTACAGAAGAAAGGGAGAGAGGAGCTCTTTGATTGATTGATTTATTTCTCTTTCTTCATTTTAGGTTAATGAACTTGCACTGTCCTATCATTCTTAAAAATACTGCTGAACTGGTTGGCTTTTAGAATGCTTTGTTTTTTAAAAAGGATTTGCTGGATATGTGATAATCTTAAGAAATGCTGCTGATGCTTACTGTTGTATGGAATATCATTCTCTGCATTTTCCCACATACCATTTTATTTCTCATCAGAAATTCAGACTGTCCAGCCTCATGACAGACTAGTGTTTGTTACGTGATGATCGTGCCTCTGACTCAGCTGGTACAGGTGGAACATCCCTTCCTAGGCATGTACACCATCCAACAAGTGACCTTTTGATTGAAGGGTCTTTTTATTTTAGATTTCTTCCGGCATCCAACACAGGTACCGAATATTGAAGGAGGAAAATGAAGCCTAACTTTATTCATCCTGCATCTGATCAACAACTGTTTATTGGTTACCTGCTTTAAGGCAGGCAATACGTAGCTGCTGTTAGGAGACCCCTCATTTTTAACTCTTTAATTTTGAACTGTTGTGTGAGTTCACTTCCTGGGTCAGTTTGGAGGTCTTTGCTTGCTATCTGTATGCTCACTTGCTAATATAATGATATCAGCTTCAGCTAAGGAAATTTTCTGTTTAATGAAGTTGAAAAATTCTGTCCTTTTAGGGGTTTACATGACATAATTAATATAAAGTTGACTAATATAAAAATTGGTTAAACCTGCTCTCTAGATGCAGTTAGAAGTGAATCCTTTTGATGTTTCTATTCATTATCCTTCTGAAAAGTAGGTGGTGCTTAGAAGGTCATAGGATAAGGGTTGCTAAGCAGCTAAACAGAAGGATGCTAAAATTAACCGAAGCATTTTTGAAAGGGAGTCCTTCCCTGTTTTACATTATTTACTGGATTTAATCAATTTCTGAACTCTCCAGGTCCTTTGACTTAGAAAGGTAGAATGTTAATGTTGATTTTGTTTTTGTTGTCATATTTAAACAATCTTTCTTTTGTAATGTGTTTAATTGAAGTTCAGTTTTCTTTGACCTAACCCTGTGGTGTCAAATGGCAGCTTGTCTGAGGTGACTTCGTTTCTGTTACCAAATGTGTTCAGGTTAAGCATTCCCTGTATGTAACTGCACCTTTTCTCACATGTTAATAAGACTTTTTGTTTTGGAAAGTCTACATAATCCATAAAGTGATGCCTTACTTATATTCTTCATTAAACAGATATGCGCTCAAAAGAAATGCAGCATAGTATCAATAGAAACTATGCAGTATAGTCTCACCTGATAAGGGGACAATAGCTTTCTCTCCCCCTTCACTGAGATTACCACTCTTAGATTAGGCCTCCATATGTCCCCACCTCCATGTTACCCCACCTCTCTGGCTCAGTTTATTCAGTCCAATTCATACCTACCTTTTAAAAAAGAATTGTATTAGGTTCAGAATCTCTTCAGAGGAACTGAGCAAATGTTAGAAAACAATAACAATTGTGGTTTGCATTACATTTCTACCATAAATGTGTTTTAAGTATGTTTGCAGCAAGATAAAAGGTAGAAATCTGAAGCCAGGGTTGGTAACCATCACCTTGATTGAACGCAGCCCTAGTGTGAAGGTAGAAGTTTCCGTGTCTCAAGGTCATTTGTGTACATCTGACCTGTTGAACACACATTGTTGAGTCATATTTTTTTACATCCAAATATAATTAGGAAATGGGTAAATAAGTGTGCTGTTTCTTCTCTCTCTTTCTCAGAAAGTGATTTTGGGGTAGGAATAGTCAGGGCCTTCTTCAAAACGCAGGGGTCAGATAGTGCCTGCCACACCCTGGGGGGACCTCGTAAATCAGAGGTAAAAGGTGTACCATCTGAAACCCAGAGGGAGGCTCATGATGTGCTTTCTGAAATGCATCACTTACTTTTAATTTCCCTCACTCCCACATGGAAGGCAGACTACAGAGAGGGAAACCATCCGCTGGTGTTTTCTTTACAGTGAGGTGGAAGAATGAGGAAGGTGGGGAGGAGCTTTTCCTAGCTAGCAGCCTTCGGTAGGCAGTGTCATCAGCCCAGCTTCCCCCAGTTTCTCTCGTCCCCTTGCCTGGGTGTCCAACGTGGCCTGAAGGGCAGCCGAGCGTGGCTGGAGATTGCACTCTGCTCCTTGGCAGCGGCGGGTGGGGCAGAGATGGAAAGGAGGGGGCAGGGCGCTGTCCTTCCAGTGACCGGGTGCATCTTGCTTTTGATGGGACTGCAGGGCACGTCGTTGTCTGTCCATCAGTAAAGGTGGCTGCCTGTGAATAGGTGCTCAGACAAAGCAATGGGAGAGGGTGGAGACTGTTTGCTCTGTGTGATTCAAGCCAGTAACGCCAAGAGAATTTGAAAACCTCTGTTAAGTCCTGGGACTGGGCACTGGCTGCTCCTGCGGGGATTCACCTGAGGCTGGAAGACTGCTTGAGGGCGGGTGGAAGTCACTGGGTGGAGAGAGAATGAAAACCCCCACTGGCTTTGTCAGACGGCCAGACTGTAGAGAAAAAGTCTCAGTGGGGGTAATTAGATAAAGCTTTTAAATGCTCTATTTGTTTTTCCCCTGAGCTTGCTTGGTATTCCACCACCCGCCCTCCCTGAGACTGTAGAGTAGGATTGTTATAAAAACGTTTTGAGTCTGCTGGTTGAATTACTTTTCCCCGTACCTTCTTGGACAGAGTTAGTTTCAACCTGCTTTTGTGAAGGCCGTTAGCAAAAGTTCTGAGTTTGAGCCCAGAGCAGCTTTATTTTACTGCTATGCCTTGATCTACCCATGGGCTGGTAAGAAGTCAAGCCAGACTCAGAACTCCTAAGTCCAGCCCGACTGTACAACAGCTGCTCTTTAGAATCAGCTTGGCCTCAGAGGACTTAGCATTAAACGTATGCACTCTGTTTTTCTCTGTGTGTGTGGTTTTAAAATAAGAACTTTTTGAAATTAACTCCCTGTTGCATTTGAAGGTGTAAGGGAACTCCTTAGCTTTTGGCAGCATTGCTATTGATGAATGTGATTATATACATTATTTCGGTAGCTTTTC